TGTGTGTGTGTGTGTGTGTGTGTGTGTGTGTGTGTGTGTGTGTGTGTGTATGTGCTGTTCATGCATGCACACTTGAATTGCCCTCATCAATTGCTTCACGTTGACTGACTACGTACTGCAAAATCCGATTAGCCATTGAACTCAGCTGCCACCCACACTACTCCCAGTCCACCCACCGTACGGCCAGCTTAACCCAAACTCCATACATTCTGTATCCAGCCTCCGACGTCCCCCTACCCTCCACCCCCTCGAACAACTTTCAAAGCACACACACAATGCCGCTGCTTGGCACTCGAGCTCCATGCAAAAATTTGACTACCAAATGCATTTTTGGCCAACAATTTTCTAGTGCATATGCAACGCATTTGGTTTTTGACTTTTGTAAAGCTTCTCATTCCATATAGCACTTTCAATGCTGCTGTTGTTGTTGTTGTTGTTGCTGATGCTGTGGGCCAGCATTGTCTCACTGTCAACATCATCGTCGCTGGTCGTTTTCATTTACAGTAGCACCCCCTCGCCCCCCGCAGCCACAGCCACAGCCACCCGCCTCCTGCCATTGGGTCGTTGCACAAGCGAAAAGATGATTTCCCAAGTGCCACTTGAAACCGACAAATACGTTTCGCAGTTTGCTCTTGTTGTTGTTCTTGTTGTTGTTGTTGCTGCTGGTGTTGCATCTGCTGCGCTTTTATGTGCAGCTGCTAGGCTAGGCTTGTGTATTATTTGTGTGTATGTGTGTGTGTGCCGTTGTCATTTGTAGCTCGACACTAACGCCAACGCCTCCTTATATAGCCTTTTATTGTCACCGCAATCGCAATTGCAATCGGCATTGCTCTTGTTGTTGTTGTCGTCAGAGTTATTGTTGTTGTTGTTACTGCTGAGCTGCTGTCAATAGGTATACCGTAGGCAGCATGACCAAAACTGTTGGCAACCATTTACAGCTGCTCTCAGCCCGTATAGCAAACCCCAAGCTCTTCACGTTGCAGTCGTTAAACGAAACTTTTGCCTGCTCTGTGTGTGTGCGTGTGTGTGTGTGTGTATGTGTTTTTTTGTAGCTCAGGAAGCTAATGCCAATACGGTAATTAGTGCCGTACCGATAGAGAGAGAGAGAGAGAGAGAGAGAGAGAGTGAGAGAGAGAGAGAGAGAGAGTGAAGGAGGCAAAGAGCGAGACTGAGAGAGAATTTCAGCTTTTCTTTGCTCTTCTATTCGTTGCCAATTTTGTCTTGCTTTAAAGCTCAGCTTTTACGTAATTTATGCAAACAAACTTTGATTGAAAATCAGATGAAATAAATGAAAATTTCGATTTTGTGGCATTTATAGCTATTGATGCAGCAGTTAAAATTATTTAGCCCATTGTCGGGAAAGACAACAGAAACTGGAGATGATTTTTTTGGCATGGTGCTTAAATCGCAAAGTGAATCATATTTATGGAAAATTGCCGGTAGATATTCATTTTGTATTTACATATATGCATATTGTATATAAATATTACTAGAAATATTTAAAGATTTAAAAAATTGATTTTTTAACCAAATAAAAGCTTAAATATTGCCAAACGAAATATAGAAATATTTATATTAATATATATGTATATTTATACTAATATATAAATGTATATTTATATTAAATTAATTTGGCATTATTTAAACTTCCTTTTAGTTAAAAATTAATAATTTAAAATTTAAAAAGTTTCGTAATATATTAAAATGTAATAATAATAATTGCCTCAAGGCTTTTGTCGCTCTGCTTTAAAATTTGGTATTTAGATTTAACTCTTTGTAAGAATAAATAAATAAAAAATAAAAATAATAATATTATCTCAGTTGACTCATTTCTCGTATTTAAATATTGCTTAGTTGAAAGGAATTTTTTTATACTTAAAATCATTTTGGTGAATTTACTTTTAAATAGTGAATTTGAATAATCTCTGCAGATTGCTTAAATGTGATGTGGAGTACAAGTCTGAGGAGATATACATAGTTAGCTTAGGCTCGTTCCTCGTGCCATTAGCAATGAGATAATTTATCGCTTAGATTTGTACTACAAATTCAAATTCCTATTCCCCATTTCAATAGGCATTCACTCATCCACATTCCGTTAGAACATTCTGAAGTTTTTGCAACTTCCGCTGAGCGAATATCACACTAATTACAAATCTATAATTAAATCAACTTCTCTTTTCATTCAGCACATTTTTCGCTCTAATTAGCGAGTGCTGTCATTTATTTAAAATATATATGCGAATTTATATATTCATCTACATATTTATATGTACATCTATGCATTTTTATTCTCACAAAAAGAAAATACTTTGGGGCACGCACATCGTTAAATTCTCACGCCTGACAAGCGGAGGAAACGTTGCCAGAGACAACCAGTTAACCAAATAGCAGTAAGCCAACAATCAGACCAAAAAAAATCAAGAGACAGACGGGAGGGAACGACTAGAAGATGCCCTATTTTAGAGAGCTACTATGCATATCTATATAGTATAGTCAGATAAAGAAATATGTATGGGAAATATGGTCTAACTAGATGTAAATCAAAGATGAGGCAGATTACGCGAACCCATCATACCCTATGCAGCCATTTTACAGGTCATAAAAGGCAACTCATAAAATGTGCGAAATATTTTCTTTTTTCATTTTCATTTTATGTATTTTATTTATTTTAATTCTTGAACTTAAATTAATTTGAGTTTAAATGTTGCATTTAACAAACGCAACGAGTGCTGCAAATTACATTGCAGCTTAAATGGAGCGCAGCGCCGCAGAGCCGGTGGTGGCTGCCCCGAGGGCGTGGCTATCCTGTGAGTCTGCCAACATCCTGCGAGCGGAGCATTAATAAATAGTCGCAATCAAAATTAAAAGGGCTGCAAAACTCTGCAAACATTTCGCTTCTTTAAATCATTTTGCGCAGCGCGTAAAAGAGGAAAACAGAAAGAGTCAGAGAATGAGAGAGAGTGGAAGTGTGAGGGAGAGGGAGAGTGTACAGCTGCAGGATGCAGTGTTTGGCAGGATACAGTGTTGCCTAACGCACCAGCTAGGCAATGTCTGTGCAAATTTATAAACGCGCTTCGACTGAGCTTTAGCTAAAATACGATTTTTGGCCTCGCCAGTTATATAAATTTGTCTGGCATGTCCGGGACCTACGCCACTCCCATAATTAATAGGCCAAAAATGCTGAGCCATAAATTTGTGGGACGCAGGCCTCCGAACCGAGCCGAGGCATTGATGAAGTCGAGACTGCTTCGGCATGGCTGCCGGCTGCTGTTCTTGGCTAATTGGTAGTCGCAGTGTAAGCAGTTCAATTACATGCAAAATGGCCAAAATGCATTAGCCTGGCCAACAGCCAATTGCATAATAATGCCCATAAAAGCCCAAAAGAGCCAACTGCCAATTGGCAATCAATGAAACGAAACTGATTCACCCAAAGACAAATTGCCTGCCTAATGAGCGGCACTCGTTCAGTTGCTGAGGCAACAGTGCAATTAAAAATTAAATTACCTAGGTACACTCAGGTATTTATATGTATGTATATATATGTGAGAAGATAGACAAGTATATAGCAGGAGAGAGAGCTCAAGTTGGCTATAAAACCAACTCGCTCATAAAAGCAGCGAAATATTGAATAACATTAAAAGCTAGAGCTGAGAGTGCTGACTGACTTGAAGATACCCTGACTAGAGCTGAAGATATCCTAATATATGGCCAAAGTACAGGAAAGCTGAGTTTATTCTTGGTTAATGGCAAATATGTAGAAGAGAGTATATTTCATATATTTAACATATCAAAAGACTCGTAGAATTAAGTAAACAGCATTCAAATGCATTCTGAAACAGAGTATTAGTGGACAACTAAGAGTTTTGACTGACTTGAAGATACCCGGACTTCTTTGCTTCTTACTCAATGACGAATAACTAGAAGATAATATATTTTATATATTCAAATATATCAAAAGACTTATGGAACTAAGTAAACAGCATTCAAATGCTCTTACTTAGTCTTTGACTGACTTGAAGATACCCGAACTCTACGTCTTACTCACTCCCAATCACTCCTTCTCCTCCTCACTCCTAATCACTACTCGCATACTCTAAAATTCATAGATTTAAGTAGACAGCAGAAAGCTGCACAGCATACCCACATCTACCCTATTCAAATACAGTCTTAAACAGAGTATTTAATGCAACTCGGCTGTCTTGGCTTAAAAGACAATGATATCAGTTGCGGCATTTCATTAGCATTTAATTAGCTACCTGCGCCGGGCGGGCGCTTCGCATGCTTTAAGCTGAGTGAAGCATACCTTGAGGCAACTCAACTCGGGGTTCTTAACTAAGACAAGCTGCTGTTTACGACTGTCAAATGGCTCTAAATAGTGGGCGCTCTATTAAAATAATTACCTCACTGTATTTATGCGAGGTAGCTGAAATGATTTAAATATAACTTATTTATTACATTTAATTGATTTTTTCGTTTTATGAATTTGAGTAAATTTAAGGCAGGTACGCGCATACATTTCACTTCATTTCGAATTACCATACTTAAAAAGGCACTGGTTAAATGCGATTTCGATTTGTTGCTGTGCATTGATTTTCCATTATTCACACTCTATTGTTATGCGATAAAACATAGCACTAATTGTGAAGCATTAACATA